TATATATATATATATATAACCTCAATTCTCTTGTTTTGTACGAGTATAGAATTTTTATCGGATTTCTCGAGGTTTCTACATAGCGCTAATCAACTAAACTATTAAGATCTGGAAATATAAAGAGTGCACTACTTCTTTACACAATATGATTATAAAAGTCTCCGTGTGTATTATAGAAATGTTGCGTTTTCACTCGTGTTTTTAAGAATATTACATCTATTCATTAGTTTTAAAAGCATATTAAAATAGAATTTTTATCGGATTTCTCGAGGTTTCTACATAGCGCTAATCAACTAAACTATTAAGATCTGGAAATATAAAGAGTGCACTACTTCTTTACACAATATGATTATAAAAGTCTCCGTGTGTATTATAGAAATGTTGCGTTTTCACTCGTGTTTTTAAGAATATTACATCTATTCATTAGTTTTAAAAGCATATTAAAAACTATCTCATGAATTTACAAATCGTCATAAAGATCTTCCCTATAGAGGTCAAAAGTCGTATAAAAAACATCCCTTCTAAAGGGGATTTAAATATAATTGTAAAAACGTACACTCTTGAAATCATACGGTAGAATATGTATACCATCTTGATAAAAATACATGTAAGAAGGGTAATGAAACTTTGTCTCCAGATCATCCTTGACCTTTCTTTGTGAAGCCATCACCATTGCTTCCTAATCTTATGTCCCATTTACCATTTCTCCCTATTTTGTTATGCGTACTTCAAAATGAAGTGAGTCTATTCGTGCGATTTAATTTCTATTATTATGTGATATTAAACATAATACTGACAATTTGAATAACGACACGACGACATGATTTAAAATTCGTACGAAATTAACAGATTTGAGTTTATATCATAAATAGGTTTGAGTCAAGTTCGTAAAACACAATTCAATAGCGTATCATTTTCAGCTTGACCTGTCAACCCATAATTGACATGTCGTAACTCGTTTATTAAACGGTTTATATTTGAGTAATATGAATACACAACACAATTACAACATGTTTTATTACCTATGTTTACAAAGTTTTTTTTTTTTTAAGAAATGGGTGATAATATAAACACCACTAATACCTTTAGTGTTACGTAATTTTATTTATTTATTATTTTTTTTTACCAAACCGTTGGACTTTGGAGACATACACGAGGCAATCAATATTAATGGAGGCACGGTCAACGTTAACTTCCATATCTGTTGCAACAGCTATCAGGTTTTGGGAGCATCCACGTCAGACAACGTAACCCTTGTTCCCCTTTTTTTCTCAACCTTCTTTTGCGTCTCCTTAAATAATATTATATTATAATTTTAATATAATTTTTTTAATTGATGTAGCACGATATTTTAATTAATATAGTATTTTAATTATTGTGTTGTGATATTATTTGAGTGATATAAAATGAAATATGAATAAAGAATACACGGTAGAGACTGCAGTCATGGTATGCAAAATGTGGACTTTGTGATTCCTCATATCACAGTAATAGATTGTCACAGAAATGATGCTTTTGCTTTGATAAGTGGTCATTGACCCATTTTTAGTAGTTTCTATGAAGAACCTCACATTTTCTACCAAAAGTTTAATAAGATCAGAGTCACGGATCATAAAATTACAATGTATTTACACAGTGCAAATCCTTGTTTAGTCAAGAGGATGGCACTTTGGTGGAAATTAAACAGCATATTTTATTAAAAGAAAATTAAACAGCCTTAATGACAAAATAAGTTGAATACCATCCTTTCTTGGACACCAAGCAAGAGCCAAGAGTACACAGGAGTGTAAAAGCAAGGAAATTTTCAGAAATTATTGTCGTATAAATGGAAATTTCCCACTTATAAACGAAGTACTAGTAAAAGATGCTGGAATATACACGTAGAATAATCCTCGATGACTACCGTGCGTGAGATTAAGAGCCTGTTTAGTTCATGAATTAAAATCATTTTCGATTTACGTGTGTTTTTTGTGAGAGAAAATACTGTAGCGAATTATGAACCATAATTCGAATCAGAGAACAAATCCTCTAACTAAACGGGCTTTAAAATGAGAGAGATGAGAGAGAGAGAGAAAAAGAGAGAAAGAAGATTGGGTTTCCTTAATAACTATAACTATATAGCTCTTAAAAAAAAAAAAAAAAACTATATAGCTCTTACGTTTCGTTTCAATTTCTGTTGCAATAGGAAAGAAGCAATTGACCAAATCCAAATTAAAACTAATACATGCAAAAATGATAAATTGTTATTTTTTTTGGTAGAATGAGAAATTAGGTTACAATAAAAAATCATCCTCTAACATTTTTGTAAATTTTGTAAGTTATTTATTGAATTATTAATTTTAGCAAATTACTCTCGGCTATATCAAATTGGTGCAAAGTATTAGAATCAATAACCCTGGTTAAGATGTAAATAGAAACGCTTTCATGGAAGTTAAATGAGTGTGTTTAAAGAGTTGATAACGAAGAATCGCGTTAAATATATAATGGTATTTTTATTTAAAGTTTTAACCTCTTTATTCTTAGACTTTAGACGCATCGTGCAATTTTTCTTTAAATTGAGGAAAAATTACGAGGCAACTTATTTATTGACAAATAACAATAAAATTAGACCCTAAAATTGCGAATTACCTTTAATTACCCTCGAGTTCATCTAGGGAAAAAGCAAAAGAAAATAAAATAAAATAAAAAAAGGGTGACCACTTTGGAAAAGGGGCCACCAACCTTGTATGGCCGTCATTCTACAATCAACTAATGGAACAACACCTCCAATATTTTGTATGAAAACCAATTTCGGCAAGTCAACCCAACACCGTTGGTCGGCTCTTCAACTGAATCAAACGGCCAAAAAACATGAGGATTTTGGGAAAAACAGAAGTCATCTTTTTTAGTTCAGCCAGATACAGCCCCCAATTACAGTCATTAAATTTACAATAATAATATTAATTACAGATGCAACAAATTAGGCCATGTATGTTGTCGGACCCTCTTTTTCTCTTATAGCGCACGAGTTTCTGTGATTTCCAAGTCACCAAGACAAATCCCATCAACCAAAAAAAAAAAATCCAATCATATCGTTTTTTCTCCTTCTTTCTTTCCTTTGCTCAAAGTTCCCACCAAAGTCGGGTTCTTTCTCTAATCAAATCGAGCTTCTTTGGTACCAATATCCGGTTTTTCCAACTCCTCGGTGAGATAATCTATACCCAGTTTGAGTTTTTTTTTTATTATTATTTTTTTCTCTCTATGCTGCTCTTTCCAATTTGTTTTGGAATTCAGTTTTGTGTTCTGAATTCGGTTGTTATTGATGAATGGAGTATTTTGGAATTGGGTTTTGTTATTTGGGTGTTTTTAATGGGCTTGATGACCTGTTTTATGAGTTTATTGAGAATTCAATGATTGGTTCCTTTTTGGGGTTGTTGGTAGGGACCATATCTGTTGTACTTTGGTTTGAATTGTCCGAAATGATTGTTATGCTCCTGAAGCTTTAATTCCAGCTGATGCTTTAATTGTTTTTTTTTCCTATAATGTTGTTCAGTTCATAGTTGAGCTCATTATGGTGATGATCATGTAATTGGAAGTTTGGGTCAACTTTGTCTTAAATTTGCAGACTTTGTCTGTGTGTTCCTTCTTTTCTGTGTCTTTTGCCATCAAATTTTGGAACCTTTAATGCTGATTACGCTATTAGATATATTTGTTAATTGTAATTTTGTGTCACTGATGGTAAGGTTTGGGTGAAGGCAGAGAAGATATATTGGCTTGTCGTTGAATTAGTTTATCATGGTATATTATGTGTAGATTTATGTGAAAGTGAAACTTGCGTTTATTCATTTCCAGACTTTCAGATGATTAGTAGCTTTCACCTTGATATACTCAAAAAAAAAAAAAAAAAAAAAAAAAAAAAAAAAGATGGGAGTCTTTATTGACCAACCCAATAAACAGACATGAAACTTAAATATAAGAATAGTATATACTACACAAGAAAATATAGTTCCATGTCCTTTTAAGTTTTTAAACTGTTTGTTTCCTCGTCCTTTGTCACTATTGTTTCATTTTTGGCTATTTTGAGCACGCCAACCTTTTTCTTTAAAACTCAATTTAATCGTGCAGTTTTCCAATATTGTTGGGGTTGCTCTTTGTTATTTTCTTCTCTCGGATCAGAACCTCGTGCTTTTCGAGTGATTCATAAGAACTAGAAATGTGTGTGGGCTCAAGATACACCATTTAATGAATCTAGTGCTTTTGTTATATTGATGAAACCTCGTTGCCACTCTTCATACACCCATGATAGTTAACTTTTTCCCTGCTTCGTTTGTTTAGTGATCAGATGCAGAGCAGGTAAGCAACTTGGGGGCTTTCTCAAGCTATGTCTTTATCCTTTCCGGTTGGCTCCACCTCTCTTGAAGACAAGTACTCAAAGCTGCCAGATACTTTTTCGGTTTCATCACAAAGGAAAATGATGTTTAATCCCTCTACAAGACAGGCTTCTCCATTAGGTTCCAGTGCCGGGTCTTCTGGGCATTTGTTTTCATCACCATCCCCCTTTCCAAATGATGTTCCTATATCTTATGTTCCTCATCATGAGAGGCATCCCCACAATTCTCCGGTTATTCCGGAGTCAAGTGGAGGAAAGTCATTGCCCCCAATCCATTCTTCCCTTTCAGAAGTACAATCTACCGCACTTAATGATCACATTGGAGAGAATAAGGACGTTTCCTGGTGTCCAGACGCATTTCAGGATTTTCTTGATTTCCCCGAAATGGAATCTGTCCAGAATGACCAGGTGGAAAGAAGTACTATTCCCTTAACATCCGAGGACCATGGTGAAAAGACTGATTGGTCAGCTTGGGATCAGTTGATTACCATTGGTGATGATCTGGATCAATATTGGCCTGACCTTCCCGGTAATTGTAACGCAACAGATTCTAAGCAAGAGGTGTGTTTCGAACTCAATTTATTTATGCTAAACTGAAATTCCAGGATTCCTCATGGTTGTTTGATGCCTTTATGTTGCTTGCTGCATTTACAATCCACATCATCTCTGATGAATCCGTAAATGATATCTACTTTATATCCTATAGAGATGAATATATAGGAGTTGTTCTTTTGCAACGAAACGAGTTTGAACTCGAGTTACAACTTTATTCAAGTTCATGTTCTTTCGTAAAATTTGAGTTTGAACTCAAGTTTGAGACTAAACTCGAGCTCAAGTTTCTCCTTCAATTCAAGTTCATAAACTCGAACTCAAGTTAATGAATAATATTTTTTATATTCTTAAAAATGACATAACTTTTTCGTTTTAATTCTGATTAAGATGATTTTTTTTTCTATGCATTCACAACGAAAAGACGAATAAAACCCCACCTATATACCCTATTAAAATTTTTCATCACCATTGAGTTTTTATTAAAATATTATCTACATACAAATTTAAGTTTTAACCCACCCAAACACAAACTCAAAAAGATTCTCAATTCAAATCATAACTCAAATATGCACATCCAAACACAATCTCAAGTTACAATTTCAACTCAAATTATAACTCAAACTCAACTCAAGATCATCACTCAAGTCACCCTAACTCAAAAATGCAAAAAACGTTACAAGTAGTGTTTTGTTAAATACCAAGAGTCCACATGGAATATATATAAGATGATTCATGCGTTCCCTTCCGTTACAAGCCGGTTTTTTTGCAAGAGTAAGTTCTACTTAATGGGTTTGTAACATGTTTTTGGTAAAAAATGTTAAAAAGTAACTGCTCAAAGTCAAATACACTTGCAATTATTTTGAAAATATTTTTTAGCTTTTAAATTATGCTTATGCTTCAACTTTTTATTTAAGTAAAGATAATGCCTTTTAAAACAATCCCAAACTGAGCGGACTTCTGATTCTAGCTAAGCGTTTTTCCTGGATTAAAAATAGAGCAATGCTACGTCTATTTATGTTTGTTATTTTTTTTTCAAGATTTCAACTTATTATAGTTTACTTAGGTATCTTTTCCATGTTTGACATTAGTGTTATGTACCGTGCCTAAACAATCTGTTAATACCTCGGTGCAGCAGTCGCAAAATTATCAGCATCAACCATCACAATCTGGGGAACACTCCACTGTTTCGGATCCATCATCTGCTGCACCCTCAACAAAACCGAGAATGCGTTGGACACAAGAGCTTCATGAGGCCTTTGTGGAAGCTGTCAACAAGCTTGGTGGTAGTGAAAGTGAGTAACATACTTTATCCTTTTATATCTGTATGTTTTATTAGGACTCAGAAAGCAGAAGTTTCATTTCTATATTGACTTACAGTATTAAAATACAGGAGCTACTCCAAAAGGTATCGTAAATCTGATGAAAGTCCCTAGCTTGACAATTTATCACGTGAAAAGCCACTTACAGGTATGTTATATCTTTTCTTTTCTTTTCTATTTTTTCCTTTACCAAGCTTATTAGGTTGGCTTAATTAATTTTCTCCATTTTTGTTTGTTTCTTAATTTTCAGAAATATAGAACAGCCAGATACAAACCAGAGCCAGCAGAAGGTAATGATGATCACCTCTTTTTCTTCTTCTTCTCTAATTTTTACCTGGAGAATGATACTTTTAGCATTTATGCATATGTTTTTTACTTCTGCCATACTGCCAATGACTTTTGTGGTATTTCAAATGATGTTCTTTCTTTTGCTGTAATTTCCTTCTGGAGTTCTCAATGTATCTAGGAAATCGATAACTCGATGTTAAGGTTAAAATTAAGCTGCTTTTTTTTTTTTTTCCCTCTCTCCTAGCAGGAAACTCAGAGAAACAATCAACTTCTTCCGAAGATGTGGAAACTAAAGAAGTTAAAACGTATGTATATTTCTTTTACCCGAATAAGAAAGATGTGTACTAATGTTATTGTTTTCTTTTTTCCCGAGTTTTCATTTATCCGCGGATGATTACAAGACTGTCACGTGTAGGGGAAAAGAAAGAGATGTAGAGTATGAGAATGATTCCTTACAAAATTGTTGGCTTACTGAGTGTTTTCAGTATGCTTGATTAAATGCATACTTTTCTGTTTGCTAAGTTAACTCAAGCCGAAAAGTTTTAAAATGCGCAGAAGTATGGGGATCACAGAGGCGTTGCGGTTGCAGGTGGAACTCCAGAAGCGCCTTCATGAGCAACTTGAGGTATGCAGTTTGGTTTCTCAGCTTTGTTTTTTCTTGTATTGTCAATATAAGCTTATAATAAATAAATGGATTGTGAGAACAAAAGCTAGTGTATACAAAAATTTACTTCTGTAATAAACCAATCTTTTACTTGGTTTCATGGAATCACATAAACAAACTGCATTTTGATGTTGTTCTATTCACCGATCACCAAAATTTTCTTTTGGATCAGTATTTTTTACGTACAAAGACGGTTGGTTTTGCATCGCCATTCAAAATAACACTTTATTTATGCAGAACCAAAGAAAATTGCAGTTGCAAATTGAAGAACAAGGGAAATATCTCCAAAAGATGTTTGAACAACATAAAAAGATGGAAAACAAGCTCAAGGCTTCACCGTCCACTTCCAATGACCCCTGTTCTCCATTGTCAAATATAGTGAATCATTCCGGTGAAAGCAACAAATCAAAAAATTCAGAACAGGATCATCCCAGAACAGGAATCAGCCCAAGTAACAGCGAGCTAGACGGAAGCTCCAATGATGCGAGCAGGAAACGAAAGGCACAAGAAACCGAATTCGACAAGGCGCCTGATTCAAGCAATGTTGAGCCTGATGTCCCTCCTACAAAATATGCAAGGAGTGGATGAAATGGCAAAATCCTTTATTTTATTATTTTTTTTTATTTTTTTTTAACATTGAATACCATGGCAGTTTGCTACTACTTCTGTAGATGACATGCCAAGCCTGGATACAGAGTAGGCAAGTCATGGTGCGCAATAATTCATGCTGACTGAAACCAAGAAACGAGAACAACTTTGGAGTTTTTAAGAATTGTATTTTAAAAATTCCAAGGGAATGGCCCCCGAAAGATGTGTATTTTTCTTACTTTGCCTCGGACTTTTGGTAGTCTAGCTATAACTTTAAGTTTATAATATGTATAGTTTTGACCACATAACTAATAAGTTACATAACCATATCTAACCTCTTATTTTTCTATCGGTTTCTAAGAGAAATTCTAATAAAGGTATATTGCGGGGGACTAATTTCAAATTTAAGGGGTAAGTAAGAGTTTAGTGTTTAGAGATTACTAAAATGACCTAAAATTGAGGGGCACGAATAAAATTAGAAATTTTTTCGGATATGCTTCCTACCGGTAATATCAGTTTCTGACCGTTAAATTTAATTAAAATCACATCAAATTAAAAAAATTATGTAGAACATACAATTTTTAATACAAAAATAGAGAACTACGTATAGTTTTTTTTTTTTTTTTTTAGTGCTACCAGATAAACTCCCTAAAACTAAGCCTTCATAATTATTATGTTTAGTTAGTTATTGCCTTTTGAATTGTAATGAAACTCTTTTTGACAATGTACTTTTATATGATAGTGAAAATGGTAATCAATGTAAATATTTAGAAATACTTGGGAGGATTAATTTAGGGCAAAGTAACTACAACAAAAAAAGGAAATCTTCTACCATTAAATCGTCATGTCGTTTCAAGCTATGAACTCCTAAATTCTGGGACTAAACTGTCTTTCTAATGTCGTTTCCGTATTCAAACAGCAGCAAAGATTTTAAATTCAAACGATATGCCGTTTTCACCTAAACAATGCCAAGTGTTCACAGTGTCTTGTTTTTTATTATTATAAAATTATTTATTACGTTTAGTTTAATGGAATATGGAATGACAATTCCTCAATATCAGTTAATTTCATATTTTAAAAATACTGCAGATCTTTTTTGAAAAGAAGAAATAATAGAGTTTTTAATGTCTGCTATATAAATTAAGGGACTTTATCTTATAGGTGGTAAGTTTTTAACTGTTAAATATGATCAAAATTACATCATATTAAAAAATCATACAGAATAGACAGTTACTAATATAAACGATTTAAAAATAAAGAATTACTGATAACTCATTGTTTTTAGTTTTACTAGAAAAATTCACATAAAATAAAGTCATTCTCAGTTTATCTCCTGAACTTTAAAAACTCTCACTTTACCTCTTGAGCTTTAAATTATTCTCACTTAACCTTTTTTTGTTATAATTTACGATAAAATCAAACAAAAAAAGAGAAAATTATGTGTGATCACGTAATTTTTATTTGTTCTTTATTAATAAAATTTAAATAAAAAAATATGTGACTGCGTTATTTTTTTTTCTATTAGTTTTTAGTAGAATTTTCAACCGAATTAATTAAGTGAAAATAATTTAAAATTTAAAAGGCAAAGTAAGAATTTAAACTGTGAATGTGCGTAAAATTCAGGGTCATAATAATTCAGTTTTCAAACATAAAGAAAAAAAAAAAAAGGACTGTCGTTCAGTAAATAAAACGACATGTAGCCTATATCCACGACATAAAATCTTACAGTAAATAAGGCAGAGCAGTAAAGCACAGAAAATGCAGAGATAGATTATCACATAAACATTCAGACAGGGAAGAGAGAGAGGAGAGAGAGAAAGAGAGAGAGGAGAAAGAGAGAGAGGAGAGATATGTTGTTTCAGGTGGGAGGGCAAGGGACTCGTCCCACCTTCTTCGAGATGGCCGCCGCCCAGCAGCTCCCGGCCAGTCTTCGCGCCGCCCTCACCTATTCCGTTGGCGTAAGCCTCAATTTCTTTTTTTCTTCCTTTTCCCAAACTCTCTTCTATTCTTTTTAGTCAAACTATGATCTCATTGATTCCTCAATTTCACTATTTTCCAGAGTAGCAGTGGGAGTTATATACAGAATTTTCGTTTCTAATTTTGCTGATTTTGAATTGAAGAAAGACTCAGAACTTACATTAAAGTGCATTTCTTGTTTCAATTCCAGTGCTCGCTTTAATTTGTGCGTTTTTGGCTATGAATTGCTTGTTTCAATGACTCGCTCTGTTATCTTTTAAAATCGTGTCTTTCTAGTTTCAGGGGTTTTTATGTTGTTGTACAGGTATTGGCTTTAAGAAGACCATTTCTCCACAAGGTGTTGGACTATGAAGATGAATTCTTTGCTTTGTTGATGCTTGTTCTTGAAACTCATAGCTTACGCACTACAGGTTTTGTTTATTTATTTTTATGGCAAATTTGTTAGTCCGAGGATGTTGTCCAATTTAGTTGGGAAATCAAATTTTTTAGTATCTATTGCATGAAGCTCACCACTTTCCTTTTTTCTTTTTCTTCCTAATATATTCAGATGCTTCTTTTGCTGAATCTTTATATGGCTTGAGAAGGAGAGCTGTGAAGATAAAAGTGAAGAAGGACAATACCCATCTGAACTTAGGTGGTGAGATTAACCATTCTGGGTTGGAGAAGCGCCAGAAAGTTCTTTCTGTTGTCTTTCTGGTACAATTTTCTGTTTTTAGTCATTGTTTTTGCTCTTTTTTTGTTTGATATTTATAATAGATGTATGTAGGTGGGCTAAGTGATTGTGAAATGAATATTTGTAGGTTATACTGCCATATTTCAAGTCAAAATTGCATTCAGTGTACAATAGAGAAAGGGAAGCCAGGCTTCAAGCAAGTTTATGGGGACATGATGATGAAAGATTTGATGATGTTGATATAATTGGTAGAGAGGAGGATTCTCTTATTCCAAGAGGAACCTCTGATGCAGGATTATCAGTTCGGACACGTCTGGCTAAGAAGATTCAGAAAATTATAGGGGCTTGCTACCCCTGGGTATATGCTAGTAGTGAAGGTGTGTGCATTCTTCAGCTTTATGTGTGTGTGCGCGCGGGTTGCTGAGTTTTTCTTTTGGCAGAAAATGTTATGTAAAGTATTAGCTGGGAATTATTTATACTAGTAATATTTGATTGAACCATGTAGGTCTGATATTATTCTTTAGGGATTCATAAGGTACTTCAGATATAATATTCCACTATGGCCTTACCCTTATTTTTTTTTTTTTTTTTTTTTTGCAGGATTATCTTTTGCTTATCAGCTGTTATATTTGTTGGATGCTACTGGATTCTATTCCTTAGAATTACATGCTCTTGGTATTCATGTCTGTCGAGCTACAGGGCAAGAGCTTGTATGTTGTATCAATATTTTCTATTCTTTGTTTTTTTTTTCTTTTTACTAAGTCATGGTACATAAACTCTTTTTTTTTTTAATTATTATTATTTCATTTTTATTCTTCTTGTGATATGAATAGCATCGAAATCAACTTTTTTATGTCAAGGTAGATGGATACCTCATCTAGAATTTCAAAGATCAGAAGCCATGAACGTGAGAGACTTCGTGGTCCTCCCTGGTTGAAGGTATAACTTCATCTAGGCCATTTGGTTGGTTGGTAGTCGGTAGAAAAATACACACATTTGTCTGTCATCAATGTGGATTGCATTGATGTTTTCTTATGGAGAGGAAAGACATTGAGCCATACAATTACCTCATGGTTATATTCTATAATTAGATTGAAGAATATTTCATGATATTGATTCCATAAATATTACATTTCCATTGTTTTTATCTTGATTTCTATCTAAAATATTTCATGATTCAGAAAGTGCAAGGACTACTACTCAGCTGTACGTACACAGTTCTTGATTACGCACAAACTGGGTTAATTGCGGCAGTATTCTTTTTCAAAGTGAGTCTGTAGACTTTAGTAGCTATGCACATTTTTGCACCCTAAATTGACTAATGATATGTGGTCATCATCATTCTTTCTTATTATGTTATGGGGTTAATATCAATGCTCGGTAACTATAAATTAAGAAATATGAGAAAACATTCTGTTCATCATGATTTGTTGAGACTGTTCTCTCTTCAACTTTCTTCGTTTCTTTTTCACAGAATATAGATTGTGTTCTGAACTTCTACTCATTTGAATTAACTTGCAGATGATGGAATGGTGGTACCAATCTGCTGAAGAGAGAATGTCAGCTCCAACTGTATATCCTCCGCCCCCACCTCCCCCTCCCCCTCAGGTGAAGTACTCTGTGTGTTTGTGGCCTTGTGCATGTGTTTATTTTGCATTTCAATGTTAATAGTCAAGTTATGATAATAATATAAAACAGGTAGCAAAAGAGGGTATTCCTCTGCCACCCGACAGAACACTTTGCCCCTTGTGTTCACAGAAGCGGGCAAATCCATCCGTAGTTACAGTTTCGGGGTTTGTCTTCTGCTATGCTTGTGTATTCAAGTATGTCTCTCAGGTGAGGCCTCAAGAAGCCCTTATACCGTTATATATAAAACAGATGGGTGTCTTCTCATAGCATTGAGCTTGCATATTTTGTTGGTCGTGTATTCCCTAGTACTTGTATGTCACTTTAATAAGTGCATCTATCTCATGTAACCTTTTGTTTTAATGAATAATCATTGGCACAGTATAAGCGCTGCCCGGTCACATTACTGCCTGCTAACGTCGACCACATAAGGAGACTCTTTCATGATATGTAGAAAATTCAGTCTGCTGTTGTGAGGAAGAAAATCTAGCCGGCCTGGACCCGGATTTCCTTTGGCACTGCCATCCGTCTTGAGCTTCTGGTATCCTGCAAGAGGGAAATGCCACAACATTAGTCTAGTTTCTTGGATACATACGATGTAGATTTGGTTTAGTTACTTTTCCCTGCCAAAGAAAATAATTCTCCCCCCAAAGAAATAGAGATGTACCAACTGTCACGGGTCAAGAGAATTGGGATATACTAACTATTTGTGAAGTTTTTGCCTAGCAACTTTTTCTTTTCAACTTAAACACCCTTTCTTATGTCATCTACTTAGTATTGCTCTAAACTACAGATTGATTGGAGACGAAAGCTAATGCATTTGAAGTTCCTATGAAATATGTATGTTTTTCAGGCATCGCAGATATGCCATTAAAAATAAAAATGTTCCATTGTCCTAAAAGTTAAAAAGAACTATTCTGAGGCAGAATTTTGAACTTGTGATAGAATTGACCGTCGTGAAAATTGTGCTTTTGGACAACAAAAATTTAAAGCACGATTCAGTGTCGACCATTTTCTCGTGAGAAAAAATTAATAAGGTGTCAAAAAAGGGATGGGGAGTCAACGGGTGTGTTTGGAATTGATATTGATTGTTTTTAAAAATGCTTTTGCATGTTTTTTGATGTACAAAAATAAAAATAATCTGTAAACCGTGTTTGTTTAACAAATGTTTTGAAAACGAAAATAAAAATAAAAAACAATGAGAATAGTTTTTGTGATAGAATTAAAAAACGGTTGAAAGTTATTTTCTCTTTTTTGCTTTCATTTTCTAGTACTTATCAATAATGTTATAATATATTAATTAATAATTATAACCAAACACGATTTTACCTTTTTATTATACTCAAAACATTCTCTTAAAAAATCAACCAAACGCAATTTTAAAATCGGTCTTAAAATAATTCTTAAAATAATCTCATTTTTACTTTTGTACTGAAAATAAAATCATTTTAAAAACGTTACCAAACAGCTCCAATAAGTTTGCCTTTTCTTTAACTATCTCTGATGACAAATCTAAGTTAAAGAATTCATAATTGACGCCAATAACATTAATATGTACAGTACAATTAAACTTGCAAATTTATTGGCAAAAATCTCTGAAATAAAAAAAGTAGAAAAAAAAAAAACGTCAAATGATGAACTTCAGCAAACACCCGTGTCCAAAGCCCTGCCTAATCTGGCATCAAATGGTGTAGAATTGCAACTCCCTGCTTGATCCTGCACAACCCAGAAACCAATTATTTAACAAATAATATCAGAGCATTAAATAGAAACATTCACATTCACTTCATCTACTTGGGTAATACCTTTCTGTTTTCTCTTTCTGGAATTGAAATTCTTTTACCAGAAGAGCTTGAATCTGGATCCATGTTCTGCCGTGTATGAACCCAGTAGCTCCCAACAGTACCGATTTCCGGAGTTGCATCAGGACTGTGGCTTCTTGACCTTGTTGGAGATAACAAAGCAGAAACCTGTTTAAGCTCTCTTTCTTCCTCAGATTCTGACTTCAGCACAGAATGGTTGTCACTAGCTATGGATTTGACTGTCGTTTCAGAACCAACCAACCAGCTAGAGAGGCTGGTGTCCACCCCAATTTCCTGCTCAGTGGCATGCTTCATTTCACTTGAATTCAGTTTCGAACTACGCAAACTAGGCTCCGGACTGATGAATATAGACACATCTTTCTCTAAACTGATATTCTCCTTTTCTTGATGCTTTATAAATGTTGACACTGGCCTTTTCTTGACCTCCTTCCGTTGAGTAAAGTTCTCAATTGGGCTCAACACTGAATCACCAAAGTGACACCTTTTCCCAGCATTTCGGCATGACCCCGTTGTCTTTGTCTTGACTTCCTCCTCGGAGAAACTGCGGATTGGCATTGGACTATTTACCTCCTTTTCGCCTTTCTCGGCATCACACACTCGTTTCCTAGAATCTATTGATAGAGAAAACAGTGATTCAGAAGACTCCTCTTGCACCACTACCTCTTTATCGTCAGCACCATAACTACCATCGTCATCATCTTCTTCCAAATCGATACCTTCTAGTCCTAAATCCTCACTTTCGTCTGTACTTTTTCTGCAATTTTGGTACCTATTGCTAGGGGTAAAGCATGCTACTTTGCTTAATGCAATAGTATCCAAAATGGGTTCAATTTCTTTTGGCGCTTCCTCTTCATTTCCACTCCTTTTCTCTTCTTTACCGTCCACCAAATCACAGGCGACTTCCTTGGCAGATAACTCCTCATAGCTCTTAACGTTCAAATCAAAGGTCACCCTCTTTTTGGCAGCGCAACTTACTTGCTCCTCAACCTCCTCCCTATTATTATATATATAAAAAAAGGTCAATAAAAAGAACTCATCCTTGAATGACTTGCTGATTTCATATGAACAACACAAAACCCAGCAAATCCCATTTAAGAAAGTGGGGAAATTTGTAATAAATTGGTAGCTTACTTTGATTCTCTAATGAGTTTGATAAGCTCACCAACGCTCTCTCTCTTTGCAGGTTCAATTTGTTGAACAGCTTCAGTAGTTTGAAGGCCCTAACACACATAATATTAAAGGTTTAACTAATAAAGAAGCAAGTGAATGGATAACACAAAATGCCTCAATACTTTTTTTCGTGAAAAATCAGATGGGAAAGTGAGCTTACTTGGTCTGAGTTGTGGCGTTTTCGGCGCTTAGAAGTGGAAGAAGAAGTGAAGCAAGCTGGAAAGCACCCCATGATTAGCCGCTATTGAGTTAAATTTGACTTGAATAGTTATAGGAGTGCCTTTTTGTTCTCAAAAAGAGGACTGGTTTTTACAAAGTTCTGATTGGACGGATAATCTGAAAATGTGACCGTTGGAGATTTTTTAGAATTAATTATGTCGGCTTTGTTTTAATTTTTAAGACCGGTGAAATGTTTAAGTTTAGAATTTGAGTTTTGTTATAGTAAAAAAATTCTCACATAAAGTTACATCTCAATTTTTGAATTAAAAACTCGAATTAACGAACTAAACGAGCCCCTAGAGTAACTTGTTCGTTTCGCAGATTTGAATTTTTAATCTAAATTGAGATGTGATATTTTTTTAGAGTTTTTAACTGTAATAGTGAATGTTTTTAACTGTAAAAACCTAAAACTAAAAACTCAATTCGGTAAAATAAACAAAACCTCTAAAATGTGACCGTTGGGAGACAGCCAAAGCTCCATTTATTATCTGCTGGGTACTGACAATGACTTTGAAAACGACCAGATCTCTAAGAAGCGACAGTAAAACATGTCCGATAATCATATAAACTACAATGGTAGCGTATAAACGACCAATAAATTTACGAAAATAAATCACATAAAACAGCAGAATGTACAAAACCGACAACATTTCCGATAACGACACAATGTAGGGAGAAAAAAAAATGTTATAGAAAAAGACTAGCATTAAATTACGACATTAATATACCAATAGGATAGGACGGTAGTGTTGAGAAACGACAATTTATCAAACAAGGAATGAAGGAATATAGAACGACGAGTTTAAACAAAAACCACGAGAATTTTTGAAATACAAACCATACAAAGGCAGTTTCCCAAAAACGATAGTATTCTGTCAGACGACAGCACTCTAAAAACCATGGTAAACTGAAAACAACAAACGACAATAACGTTGTACGACATCATGCTGTCACATAAATCTCAACGACATGGAGTGGGTTCTTGCGCTTCCTTGATCAGTTGATCTCAATGACAACAACATCGAAACCAAAAACGAAATTGTTTTAAAAAAGAAAACTCTGAAAAACAACAATAAATAAAAATTAACGACAACAAAGTTAAAAGGACAATAGATTGGAAGATGCCAGACGGCAAACACCAATCCTTCAAACGACAATATAAACAAAACGGCAGAATATCCTAAAGAATGAAAATAATTAAAAATTAACAGTAATAACATATGTAATCGACCAAAACAAAATGGCTTGCAAAAAATAGTAACTTTTAGGAAAGAAACTTTTATTTTGAAACGGCAAAAAGGTGGGGCAAAAAGATAATAAACGACGGGGTATCATAGAAAGGATAACTTATCATATTAAACGACAACATAGCTTAAAACGACAATAATTAACAAAGGCAATGGGTTCGAGAAACCACAAAAACTGAAATTAGATTCGTCCATAAGTTAAAAAATAAGAATAACTAAGAAATACAGCAGCATGTTAAACCGGCAATATGTCCCCAAGGACAATAAATGGAAACACAACAAACAACAATAATTAAAATATGCAAACGGTAATTGATTTTATGGACGACAATAATTCAGCAAGATGTTGTCAAACCGGCAGTGTCCCCATGAACGACAATAATGGAATTATACAAAAGAACTACAATAATGGAAACTCAACAAACGACAATAATTAAATATGCAAACGATAATAGATTTTATAGACGACAATAATTAAATATGCAAACGATAATAGATTTTATAGACGACAATAATTAAATATGCAAACGGTAATAGATTTTATAGACGACAATAATTAAATATGCAAACGATAATAGATTTTATAGACGACAATAATTAAATATGCAAACGATAATAGATTTTATAGACGACAATAATTCGGAAAGATGTTGTCAAACCGGCAGTGTGTCCACGAACGAACAATAATGGAATTCTGCAAAAGAACGTCAATAATGGAAACACAACAAACCACAAAATTAAATATGCAAACGGTAATAGATTTTATAGACGACAATAATTCAGCAAGATGTTGTCAAACCAGCAGTGTCCACGAACGACAATAATGGGATTCTGCAAAAGCAATAAACGACAATAAATTGAAATATGCAAACGGCAATTGATTTTGAAAGCGACAATTATTCCAAGCAAGGAGGTAGGCAGGAGCCAAGAACCGTTTATCGTATCCTCAGACGACCACAAACAAAAAAAAAGGGCCCTTTTTTGGGTGCAACATCAAAAGGTGGACATTTTCACTTGCCAAGAAAGAATTAGCCCAAAAAAAAAAAAAAGAGTATTAATGGGGTTTAGCAGAGTGTAGTAGTCTCTATGGAACACCACCATAGAGATACAACAATCTCGAATCAAGCTGAAGAAGAACCTCGCCGCCGGTATGTTCCTTAGAACTTCTACTCTTGGACATATCAATTTCGTCCTTGGCATTCTCAATTCCCTTTCTCTCTTTCTCTATCCACACAGACATTTCATCGAACATTTTACCTGCGTTTCTCCTCATCAATGGAAGTCAAGTTTCGATCTTTTGCTTGAATTTGAATCGTTTTCTTCTCTTGAGTAAAGGAGATCTGGAAACCCAATTCGCCTAATGATAATGCAATCGCTCCCAGCGAGGAATTTGTTCAAAATTAGGGCAAATCATCTATCCAAATCCCAGCTCGTTGTAATCCTCAACAACGTAATCGATCCTTATTCTTCTCCTTATGGCGATAGGAATTGTAGCCCTGCAACTTCATGGTTACCTTCAAGAACAGCGACGACCTTTTATGGCGATATGAGAGACTTGAGCCAGTCGTTGAAGGAATCCACGGTTTTGTCCTTCAAGGAATGGTTCAAGAGCCGCAACGACGCCCTTTTCGTTGAGATCTTCAAAATCCTCAGAACCGCCACAAACGACAACAGCGACGACGGCGACGACGTGTCGTCTGGCCGCTCCGCGGATTTGGCCCTCGCCAATCTAGGACTAAAACTCGACGAGCGGTTTGTATTGAATGTTCTTAGCTATGGCCGCACCCGCAAGGACGTTCTCTCGTGCCTCAAGTTCTTCGACTGGGCCGGTCGGCAACCGGGGTTTCACCACACCCACTCCACGTTCCACGCCATTTTCAAGATTCTGTCTAGGGCTAAGCTCATGTCTCTCATGCTTGACTCCCTCGATAGCTACACCAAGCATAGCACCGCTTATAGGGTTCGGTTCCACAGCACTTTGGTGATGGGTTATGCCGTCGCTGGAAAACCGGAGTTTGCTCTTCAACTGTTCAGCACAATGCGGTTTCATGGAATCGACTTGGATAGCTTCGGTTACAACGTGCTTTTGAACGCTTTGGTGGAGAACAGTAATTTTGATGCTGTTAAGGAGATTTTTAAGCAGATTCAGATGAGGGGTTTTGAGAATGAGGCTACATGTTCTGTGATGATGAAGAGTTTCTGTAAGCAGAAGCTTTTTGATGAAGCGGAAGCTCATTTGCGCGAAATGGTTTGCGAGGGACGGGATTTGAATGGTTATGCGTTGCACGCTCTTGTTGGTGGTCTTTGCGCGAATAATGAGTTTGATCACGCCAAGAAGTTGATTGAGGAGTTTCAGGAGTTGGGGACGATTCCCATGATGCAGGCCTATGATGTGTGGGTAAAGGAACTTGTTCATGCTGGTAGATTGGATGCAGCATTGGAGTTCTTGAAGAAACAAAAGTCTATTGGCGGGTACGTTCCCGATATGTTTCGTTATAACATGTTGATATGTAGGCTTTTATGGGAGAACCGGCTTGAGGAGTCATGTGAGTTGTTGATTGAGATGAAGGAGAGCAAGATTTCCCCCGATGATGACACCATGAATGCGGCATTGTGCTTCTTTTGTAAAGCCGGTATGCTAAGCTCTGCCCTCGACTTGTATAATTCGAGGTCCGAGTTTGGTCTCTCCCTCAATAGCATGGCCTACAACTATTTGATCAATACGCTGTGTGGGGATGGGAACATTGATCAAGCGTATAGCATGTTGCAAGACTCAATTGACCAAGGTTATTTTCCAGGTAGAAAAGTGTTTTCTATACTCGCAGATGTTTTGTGCAGGGAGGGGAAACTCGAAAAGATGAAGGAGTTGCTTCTGTTTGCGTTGGACCGAAACATTAAGCCAAGTAGGGCGATTTATGACAAGTTTATATCAGCTTTGTGTAAGGCTAGTAGGCTAGAAGATGGTTATTTGATATATCAAGAAATCAATGAACTGAATGAAGTTGCTGCAAGGAGTACTTACTTTAGCTTAATAGAGAGTTTTAGCCGTTCAAATAGGGGGGATATTGCTGCGAGACTTCTTTTTGAAATGCAAGAAAGGGGTTACAAGCCCCATCGCATTTTGTTCAGCAATGTTATTAGTAGTTTATGCCGGATGGAAAATCCAAAGAAGCTAGTCCTCGAATTGTTGGAGCTACATTTGTCTCGCGTTGAAACCAGTTCTAGAATATACAACCTTTTCATTTATGGTGCCGGCCATGCCAAAATACCTGAGCTGGCTAGAGAAGTATATGAGATGATCCTAAGAAGTGGGAGGGAACCCACTTTGAGCTCTGATATTCTCATGTTACAGAGTTATTTGAAGAGTGATAAAATTTTGGACGCTGTGAATTTCTTTAACAGTTTGCGGGGTAGAAGAAACTTTGGAAGGAAACTATGTAACGCTATGGTTACTGGCCTATGCAGAGCCAACAGGTTGGATATTGCACTTGAGTTCTTCAAGGATGCGAAGAACAATGGAGTCATTCCAAGCATAGAGTGTTACGAGCTTCTTATAAAGTTGCTATGCTCAAAGCGACGATATAGTATGGCGATTACTCTTGTCAATGAATTCGAGAAAACTGGTCGTGTCCTTACACCCTTCATTGGTAACACACTTCTGTGCCATTCTTTGCAAGGTCAAGAGCTCTACGACGTATGGATTCATCGGATGGAGGTTGAAAACGGGAATTATGAAAATCCGATGCTTGGACTGCTAATTGGTGTGTTCTGCAGTCGTGTTAAATTCAGTCAACACATTGACAAGTTGGTAGAAGTAATTGAAAAGTGTTTCCCAGTTGATCTCTTCACTTACAATTTGTTGTTGAGAAAACTAAGCTTGATCAATATCGACCATGCCTGTGAAATGTTCCATAGGATGCGGCGAAGGGGTTACGAGCCTAATCAGTGGACATATGACATTTTGGTTCGTGGATTTTTGAAACATGGGAGGAAAAGAGAGGCTGCCATAGTGTTCGAGGAGATGCTTTGCGGAGGATTTCATCCTTCACAAGCTACCACTATGTCAATTTAGTTGGTGCTCAATGAATGACCAGCCTAGTTTTAGATGGCTACTATGAAGTTCAAAATTTTCCAATATTTACACAAGTTTTAATGGTGAAATATGCCTTCATTCGAGGCATCACATTGTGTATATTTAGAGTCAATTCTTGTATGACTCATTGATTCCTTAATAAAGATAGGATTAATCTCACTGGTGCCTCTGAACTTAAGGGTCATTCTCACTTTGTCTTCTAAACTTTAAAAACTCTCACTATGTCTCATTATTTTTCAATTTGTCCCATTTTATAAGAATTTTTGTTGAAATTAGATGAAAAAAGAGGAGGATTAAGTGTCGTCATATAGTTTTTATCTGTTTGTTTTTAACAGAAATTCAAACAAAAAGACCACATGACTATATTTTTTTTTTTTCTATTTATTTTTAACAAAAATTACAACATAAGGGATTAAGTTAGTATAATTAAAAGTTTAAAAAGTAAACTAAAAATGACATTAAAATTCAAGAGTACCGGTGATAATAATCCTAAACAATATAAATTAATAAAGAGAGTTGTCTTTTTCTCTCTTAACGAATTGGATACGTAGTTTATGCCTTAACTGCAAACTATACTTGAAATGATTAGCAGGAACTTGCATATGGTCCTTTCCATATTTACATCCGTTTTCAATAATTTAGGGTTGGACTCTCTTTGTTAGTTAGTGATGCTATAAGTACATGAAACAGAACAAGTATGTCTGTCATTTTGTTCAAACTCAATTAGATGAACGTCTAATTTGATTGCTGTTTGCAAATAAATGATGAGTCGCCTAAAGAAGAAACTGATAGAATTTCAACTGAAGGTGTAACTGAGATTAGACACAATTAAGTATTAACACAGGCTATGGCTATTTATTGGAACTGGTTTCTGGTGAAGAGTGTCTTGTGCAGCTTGATACTTGCAGCCACAGAACAGCTCTAAAAGCGAAGTTCGAAAACAATCCATAATGACATTGCTTTTCCGGACCAAATGACCTTTTTTACAATAAAGTAAGGAATGGAGTACGCAAACTCTGCACTAAAATCCACACCGCGGAACAGTACAACACTCATTTCCACTTTTGTCACGCAACTTTTTTCCCACTTTGTAGTATTATATTAGATTAGAGTACACTGGGTTGAAAAAGTTTCTCTCACAATAAATGGTCCCATCTAAGTGTGAGAATATGACAACTAACTCTGTCAATGTTCATTTTATCCGTACGAGTTATCAATTTTAAATTTTTATAGTAAAATTTTTTTAAAAAATATCACATTTAATTTTTTTTATTATAATAAAAAAATTTTAAAAAATATCACATTTTAATTTAAATTAAAAATTTAAATTCACGAGAACAAGACTTATATAACATTTTGTATTAGACTGTAATATTATGCAGTAAATGTGACACAAGTTTGCCTTTATTTTATTCTGTGGGGCATAACTTCTTTATTATCTATTTACATTGCTATTTGCCATGGTCCCAACACCTGATCTCAACTTGAGTAATTCAGGAAAAAAAAAAAAAGTGAAGGTGGAGTATATTCAGCATAATTTGCAGGAAGAGCTGTGCATGTGAATGACCAGGAAGCATAGGCTTCCTTTCCACTGCTTCAGAATGCAGCCATCCTTATAGTGGGTCAACATTAGACTGCTAATATAAGATTTAAAAGTGCCCTGTCTCCTTTAGTCCTTATCAAATACGAGTAAAAAATACAAAAGGTTGAAAAGTTACAACACAAAAGGTGGGTTTTTTACTCTCTCTGTGAGATTTTTAGAGGATGTTTGGTAGAGGGATTCGTTTTCTGATTCGAATCATGATTCATGATTTGCTACAGTATTTTCTCTCACAAAAAATACACGTAAATAAAAAATAGTTCGAATCATATGGTTTGAATCCTCCAACCAAACGTCTTCTTAGTTATTTTTCTTTTTTGTAAAAGGATGGTGACTGGTGAGTTATTGCGTATTGAGTTAATTAATTTGGCCCTTGTGAGCTAATAAATTTTGAGGATGGTCCGGCCTTTAGGAGTCAAATGGAGAAGTTTATTACGACCATCAATGTGAGTTGATCGTGATTCAGGAGGTGATGAACAGAAGACTAGAGTCTATATATATTTTACATAAAAGAAAATACTAATGATTTAATACCAACATGGTCGAGTGCCTACGACGGGGTTGAAATCAAACCTCTAATGCACACGTGGGGTCCATCTTTTATGAGAGGCCCGCCTGATACTCAATCCCGTTGGATTGAATCACATTTTTTCTTAATTAAAGCTTAGAACGTAAGGATTTTCAGCCGCATCCGTATGATATGTTTGTTAAAACTGATGTAAGAAGGCCATGATGGATAAGGTATGCACAGGGAGAGGGAGTGTGATGGAAGAGTAAGACCTAAGTTTATTTGGGTAATTAGGGTAATTTTAATTATAATTTTAAAATCCGAACCATGATTTATGATTTTAGGTTCAAATCATGATTCTGAAATCACGATTCAGAATTAGGAGTTTGAATCACCTTGAATCAAGAGGGGGTGGTTTTAGAATCATGATTTGAGCTAGTTTAAAACATCACATCAGATTCTGAATCATAAAAAACAAACACTAATTATGAATTATAATTCAAAATCACTGTAAACAAACACTGATTCTGAATCATTATTTTAGATTCATCTACCAAACGCACCCTAAGTTTTATGACAAGGAAAAAGGATCATGGTTGTCCTTTAGCTTTTTGTTTTTGTTTTTTCTTTTTTTTTAAATATATTAGAAGGAAAAGGAGAGGAAGGATTCATCTTGATTTGTAATTTTGTATGCATAGTGACCTAAATACTTATAAAAATAGTTATATATATTAAATACAAGTTATTTTTATTATGTTCAAAGATTAAAATGACATAATATTCACAATTGAAGGACTATGCTAGTACACTTAAAATCTCGTTAATTTCACCGATTTGAGTTTTCAATTTCAGTTTTGTTATAGTTAAAATTTTTTATAAAAAGTCACATCTAACTTTTTCTGGTTACAGTTAAAAACTCTCACATAAATTCACATATCAACTTGAACTGAAAACTCGAATAAGTAAATTTAACAATTGTTGATTTTCAAAAGTCAACGCAATCCATGTACTCTACTTATCAACGATTGTGATATAAAGTCTTCCATGTACCTGCGTTGTTCTTAGCCACAACTTAAAGTTTACTCTATTTTTAATAACTTCTCGTTGCTTCTTAATTATGTATTTAACACGTTCCAGTTTAAGATTAGATTCTCCGTTATTGATTAAGTGTAATAACTGTTGCTTCTTATCTCAAACATACTCATATTTAAACACTAATCTTAATATAAAAAAAATTATTATCCATTTAAAATAAAAATAAAATATTATTCTTCATGTATCTCGTGTGAATGTATACAATATTTTAAAGAAAATACCCTATTAAAAGGATGTGACATGAATTATATTATATTATAATAAATATACGTAAATTATTTGAAAAAAAAAGTCTAACAATTTAGAATTAAGCACTATTGGTAATATAATTTTTTTTATCCCATCGAAAATATTGTCGTAAAGTTGCCCCTTTTCTTAGAAGAATTTAGGTTTTTGCGACACTGTTAACCAAACGGGTAAATCTAATTATAGTTTCATGATTAGAAAATATGTACTACTAATATATTATGGGGTTATTCTTTTACAATAAAATTTAAAAAAAATTTAAACTCAAATTATAATTTTATTTAAATTCATGTTTTTTTAAATTATAATTTTAATTAATTTTATTTAATTTTATTCAAATTATAATTATAATTTAAATTATAATTTAAATTTAACTTAAAAATTACACTTAAATTATACTCTAAAAGAATAACTCATGACCGCAAAGTTTCCCTTTCTTTTTTCATGTCTATTATTAGTTTTTTTTCAAGAAAAAAATATTGATGAAATTGATTATTATTTATTGTTGCAAAGTGTATGTACAGAGAGAATAATACCAATAATGCGTTAGGCTTGGACCCACTAGTACGGTGAGACGTAACACCTTGTTTAAAAAAATGGAATAAAGTAACAGTGGAAAGTGAAGTGATTCATTTATTTCTTCATTGTTCTGGCTTTTTCTCTTTTGCACTCAAAAATCTTTTTTCTCTCTCTTTCTTGCTGTCCAAAAGATAACGTAGCTAATCAACATTAAATTTGGTAAGAAGTTAAGTCTGTTTATTTTATCGATTTAAATTTAAAATTTAAAATTTATTATAATAAATTTTTTTTTTAAATAATTATATTTAATTTTTTATTATAATAAAAAATATTCATATAAAATTATATATTAATTTAAATTAAAAATTTAAATTAGTGAATTAAATGAGTCTTAAACAAAAAAAGACTATACTTAAGAAGAGGAGAGAGGAGGGGACCACTAATAGAGTCAGCAATAAATATGTTTTTTCTTAAGAAAAAAAAACATTGCCCACTACAATTTTATAAGATTGATTCTATTTATAAAAAAAATAAATCAAAGTAATCACATTATAAGACAAATTTCATACTTTGAGTTGAAGTAAAATTTTTAGAACATTATAAATATAGTAAAAATGACATATTAATTATTATAATAATATTATAGTTTGTACTGTATAATGATACAATCGTTATTTTAATGACATAAAAATGATATAAAATTTTGTTATTATTGTAATATTTCAAAAATTTTATTAAATTTAAACTTTGATGTCAATTAGGATGTTTGGTAGAGGGATTCGTTCACTGATTCGAATCATGATTCGTGATTCGTTACAGTATTTTCTCTCATAAAAAATTTACGTAAATCGAAAATGATTTGAATCACATGGTTTGAATCCTCGAACTAAACGTCAATGGATTAGAACCATGAGATTAGAATTATTTTTGATTTACGTGTATTTTTTATGAGAGAAAATACTATAACGAATCATAAACCATAATTCAAATCAGAGAATGAATTTTCCAACTAAACGAGATCTTATAATTTCACACACCCATCCTCATTAGTATCGGTGTCTCTTAGCTTCAATATTTTTCTTCATCTCCTTTTACATTGCGCTCAATAATAAACTGTGCGACATCAAATTCATAGTACAACAAAAAATTCACCTATTTTTTAATGTCAGATTCTTTAATTCTTTATTTTTAATCGTTAAATTTATATAAACAAATTCTACGGCAGAAAATTTCTTATAAGTGAGTTAGTTGAGATGAGAGTGAGATGATAGTATGATACCAACAAAGAGTAGGGTGGGCGGTGGGCCCAACTTTAGGAATAATATAGGTCCCGTTTACTTCGCTGATTTGAGTTTAGAATTTGAGTTGAGATGTAATTTTATGTGAGAATTTTTTATTATAGTAAAAAAGTTAGATGTGATTATTTATGAGAATTTTTTACTGTAAAAAAATTTAAATTCTAAACTCGAATCAGCGAAGTAAACAGGCCATATAACGTTCCACCAGCACCAAACCAAAATGAACTCTCCTTCCATTGGATGTGCGAAATGCCGAATAATCTCTGTCCAGTGACAGATGAGCCTTCACCAGCTAAGCCACAGACGTCTTTTTTTCTTTTTTTTTTTTTTTTTTTTTTTTTTAAAAAAAAAGGCGTGAGTGCATTTACTTACTGACGTACTTTCACAGAGGGAATGACGTGTCTGTTTCTTCTGCTGAAATGGTCAGCTTCCCAATAACAATGGCTCTCTCCCAAATATCAATGTCTTCTTCTCTTCCCCATACAGTGACATCTCGGTTTTACTGAAACACCCACTTGAATTTTGAGGCTACATAATCATTTTTTTTTTTCATTTCTTGAAACTAGGTGAAAACATTATTCTTGGTTTTACACCTTTTGTTGATTCTTATCTTCTCTAAATTTTACTATTTTCTTGTCCTTCGCGGTGTGTCTCTCTCTCTCTGCATGGTTTAATGTTCTGGCTTGAAGCCCACTTGTTAACTTTTTTTTGCCATTTTTTCCATCCAAGTGTACGTCTCATATTGTCTTCTTGAGACTTGTCAAGTTCAAGATTTTTGGCCTTTATTGTTTTTTGTCCTGTACGGTTAAAGCTAAAATCGTTCCTGTTATTCTTTCTTTACCATCTTTCTTCTTAATGGTGTTTAAAGCTTTGAAATACTATTGAATTTAGCCTTGTTTATAAGATTTTAGACTATCAAACTTCAAAGAATTGTTCGTGAGTTTCCCGTGTTGAAGTTTTCATTTGTCCATGATAGTTACTAATTATATTCCTTTATGTTTTCTGATAAGAAATGTGTTTTATTTTGCAGTGTCAAGGACAATAGAGGTTGGACCACTGAATTTAAAGTTGATTTAGATTGTTAGAGAACGACAATTGGGTAACTTTGTTCTTTGCTGGGGTAGTTGGAGGATTAGCCAATTATCTTTCTTTTTTTCTGTACAAGTTATATACACAAAAAGAAACTCAAGAAAGAGAAAAGTTGCTTGGTTTTGCTTCTTTCATGTGACCAAAAGGTCGAGTTCCTTCATGTGATTTTAGTAAATGCGTTTTGTTGGGATAGTGGAGGGAAAAAAAAGAAGATAAAAAAAAAAGAAAAAAGCTTGTGAAGATTTTGGGTTCTTTGGTTTTGAGGTGAAATTATGGAATCATCATTAAATCAGAAGTCTCTTGAGAGAGTTGTTTCACAGAAGGCTTTGCAGATGGGGAGTTCGTTTTCATGCCAAATTTGTGTGGTGGGTTTTCTCTGTGGAGTTTGCCTTACCTCTCTATTTCTTGCTGCGCTTACATCACTTGGTACTTTTGAGCTTGGTGGAATCTCATTTCCCATTTCAATCAGTACTTCTCTTGGGAATTCAAGCTCAGAAATTATCAGTAAGTGATTTTTTCTTCCTCTTTTTTTGTTAAAAAAAAAAAAATCTGATTTTCAGTTCTGGAGTTCTTGATTTTTATTTTTATGTTTTCCTTGTTTTAACCTTCTTGTGGGGGGTGAATATTTTTGCTTATAGTACGGTCTTTCTTTCTTTCTTTCTTTTTCTGAAGTTGCCTTTGCGTAAATTCAAAGGAAATTTAGGATATGGAATAATTATGCAATGAAAGCTTGCAAGGACACCGGGGCATTTTTGGTGTATATAATTTGCCAAAGTTATGAGTAGGTTGGTCTCTTTTGATTAAGGTTTAATTGAAATGGGGTCTTAAATTCACGGCTGAAAAAGCAACGACAAGAGTGATTAAAGGGTGCATTCAAAGCAAGTCAAAGTTAGAAGAATAGCTTCTTGCTGACTTCATTTGGCCTTCACTTCTATATTTGACTTTCAATTAAAATCTATATCAAATCTCCTTTAATAAATCAATCCATAATGTTTTATACTTGTCATAGAAGCCAAAAAGTCCCTAGTCTCCTTTGGGCTAACATGAAGAAACCACGCAAATTTGCATCAAAGTCCCTTCTACAGAAATCCTGTTCAAACGCAATCTCATTATTACTAACTCATTATAATTTGCCAATTTGCATAGAAGGTTGTCATATCTTTGATTGGCGATATTTACAATGCCTAAGTGCTATATCTAATGCCATCATTTTGAATGTATTAATTCAGGTCAAGACTGCAATTTTGTTCCAAAAGCAACGAAGAAAACGATTGATTCAACGGGAAGCAAAAGAAAAATCAATGATGAGAGGGTGTCATTACTGTACTCAGCTTGGGAATCTTTACTAACAGGATCACTTTATGAAGAGAATGAGAATATGAGGAAACTTGGATTAAACAAGTCTAATGTGCCAAATGCTCCTCATTTGGAAAACTGCAAATCAAAAACATGGCTAAACGAACAGTTCGATAAACGCAATGGGAATGAGAATTTCCCTCCATGGATAAGCTGGAAGGGACAGTTGGGGATGTATCCAGCAGCCGTGACCAATGAGCGGTTTAATTATTATAAGCATCTGGCTGCTTCTGAAGGAACTTATCCTCCATGGGTAGGTTCCTAAGGTCTAAATCCAACAACCATTTACTAGTGTAGAATAATGTTTAGTGGTTGTGTCTGTATTCCTTCGCAAGGACCCATCATACACTATAAAATGTAGAAGTTGGAGGCATACCATTACATTTATCTTGTGTGACAATGACTTTTAAAAGATGTAACATTAGATTACAATACTTTGCAAAGTCATTAGAACACATAATAAACGTAATTCTACACCCTTTATTTCTACATTTTACATGCAGAACCGATCTGGTCTCTTTTTTGTGAAGGTCTCGAGTCTTTGCCTAATTTTTAGGAGGAAAAGTTTAAGGGGGGCACCATTGGAGTTTAACACCACAACTAATAGAAGGTGGACCCCAAAACCCGTGTGGGGCCCACCTTCTATTAGTATGTGGTGCTGGACACTACTGGTGTCCCATAGCATTGTTCACATAGAAGCCTGCCCTGTCTTTTCCACTTAAGGTTTCTCTATTTTGTTTCTGAAATGAAGCATAGGCTAAGTACAAACTGATATTATCTATCAACATTTATTCATATATATATATATTGGTTTATTAAGGAAATGAACATTAAAAAAGGTCAGTCAGTCATGTATCTTTTTTATTTCTCCATTTCATATGGGAATGGGATATTTTTATGTTGCTATGTTTTAAAACCAGAAAGCATTTTGCAGATAACAGGGTCCGATGAAGAAAACTACCCTCTAACTAGAAAGGTGCAAAGAGACATATGGCTTCATCAGCACCCTTTGAACTGTAAAGATCATAGTGTAAGATTTCTTGTAGCTGACTGGGAAAGAGAGCCGGGATTTGGTATTGGAGCCCAACTTGCTGGGATGGCTGGGCTTCTCGCGATTGCAATAAATGAGAAAAGGGTCCTTGTTACCAACTACTATAACCGAGCGGATCATGATGGTTGTAAAGGTATATGAGACTTGTATATCATGGCAATGGTTTTATTAGTTTTATTGCTATCCAATTTTTTCTGGCCCAACATCGTATATCTTGTTTTTTATTGTTTAATTTTTTGTTTTTTCAAATAAACTTGGACCTTAGGTGGCATTCCTCATTAATGTTAAATTCTGAATTCAAAATCTAATTCCTATTGGTTTCTGCTTTGTTTCACGAATTAATAGGTTCATCCCGTTCAAGTTGGTCTTGCTATTTTTTCCCAGAAACATCCCAAGAATGCCGA